CCCCAAAACCCCAAAACCCCAAAACCCCAAGTCCCTAATTTAAAAGTAGTAAAATAGATGATTTGTAACTTAAATATGATTTATGGGAAACTTGATTAATTTATAGCATACACTTTGATTAATAAAATATTTATAGATGTCTATAATTGGAATCTCTAGAGAAGTAAAGGATGAACCTGTGATTGTTAATAATGATTGATCTTATCATTCAACTATGGAGCTTAGAAACAGAAAGCGCAATATTCAGAGAGAAATCAGACTTTCTTCAAATCCTAAGGAAAATTCAATCCATGAACTTGAGAAAATGATTAGATAAAACTAATATATGCATCATTAGTATAAGCCCTAACTTCAGAGTACCGAATCCATGAAATACCTAAGTTTTATAAATAAAAGTACGAATAAAGATCATTAGGATTAGCATCAAGAATTTATACAAGGTCTTGATAAAAAAAATCAAGTTAAGAAAGATGCAAGCAAGATGAAATTCAATTTTGACTCAATGCAGGATAAGCAATTCAAAAGAGATTGAGAGAGATTTAAGAACAAAAATATATTTTAAACTTTCGAGCAGAGTATCGTTTCAGATAATGTAAATCTGCAAAGCAAAGCCAATAAGCATCTGGCATCACAAGAAAGACTTACAACTGAGGATTAAGATAGTAAGATTAAGCTGCTAAGTACAGTAAACTCAGCAGTAGAGAACTTTATAAAGGTAAAGTTTCTCAATAAAAAAGGTAAGCATGATTCTATAAGTATACATTCCATTATTTTTAATTTGCTTCTTGATTGATTTTTAATATAGTTTCAGAAGCAGATAAGCTAGATAATTTTAAAAGAAATTTTTAGAACAGATTAAAGAATGATCCTCTGAACGAAATCTAAAAGAAAATAATGGACATCAAAAGGGGAGTAGAATATAGTTTAGATGATATTATTTATGCTCATAGCATAGAGAGAGAAGATTCACTCTCAAAGCTAGACAAATCTTCTATAGGTAAAGAATCAACAGGCAATTTTCCAGATTTAACACAAAGCAATCAGTCACTTCTCTATTTACCTCCTGTAAGATAAAGAGTAAACCAATCAACTGTCAGCAATAATGAGGATAAATAAAAAGAGCTAATGAGAAAGCTAACAGATAAACTTAAATCTAGGACTAAAGTTTTGCACAGAAAAAGATTTTAATCGACAGTAGATGGTTAGAGAGATGAGCCTTTTATTTCAAATACTAGTTCTCCTATTCATTCATAAGCATTTATTTCGAAATAGGAACGTCAATGGCTATCTCCAGCTCTAAGGAGATATTCAAGAAATAATCTTTAATTTGATTCATCCTCTCTTGTTTTACCCAATTAAACTTTGTATTAAGATGAGAGCACCACTTCAATCCAAAATACACTAGAAGAACTGAATGACATCGACCAAGAACTAGCATAGAAACTTAAAGATGCAGGACTAAACGAGTTCTTTGAATCCAATACAAACAAACCCCAACAGTCACTCATTTAACTATATAAGAAGATAATTTTATAGAAAAGAAAAAAATCGATTCTTAATGTATTCGATTTAACTTAGATGAGGTAAGCTGATTGGAGGGTTACAATGAAAAGCATAAATAAGTTTAGATTGAGTAAAATTATTAAGAAATGTGATTAGAAAATTGATACTGAATAGGAAACATAGAGTCTAGAAAAGATTTCTATTGATTAAAAGCACATGTGTGATGCTATTACAAAGTATAGGGATATTTATGACATTAATGATTAGAAGGTGGAATATAACGAGATTTTAAATGATATTAAGTATGATGATAAGAATACTCGTGATCTTGCAAAGGAAAGTCTCAAGAAATATAATGAGGGTTTTGTCTGATGCAATTAAAATAGTAAATAAACCACTTTTTATTTGATTTGAATTCTAAAATATTATGTGATGACCCAGTTTGTAATTTGTTCGCAGGGGTTTTGGGGTTTTGGGGTTTTGGGG